TATAAGGAGAAAAAATCATAAAAAGTCAAAATATTGTTATGTATGATGAAAAAAAAAGAAAGAATTGTAAAAAATGGAGTAAAGAAGTGAAGAAAAATAACAGGGAAAATTTATAAATTATTTTTAAAAAGACAAAAGAATTGTATCAAAAATGAGAAGAAAAATAAATTAAGAAAAGATAGTAAGAAAAATAAATTTAAAAATAGCAAAAAGTTAGAAATAAAACAAGAAGGAATAATAAAAATAAATAAAAAATTAAGAAAAATTGACAATAAAATATTTAAAAAATAACGATTTTTCTTTTTTGATTGACATTTTTCCTTTCCTTTTCTTTTTTGATTGGAGCTTTTTTTGCTTGACACTTTACCTTTTTTGATCGAACTTTTAAGTCTTTGAGACTATTCCGTTTTTGATTGGGCTTTTTCCTTTTTTGATTGGACGTTTTCCTTTTATGATTGAAACTTTTCCTTTTTTAAATGAGAAACCCTGTAAGTCTGGTATCTAAATAGATGCCAATTTTTAGAAAATAAAAATTATTTTTAAAATTTTCTAGACCTCTTATTCCATAAAATTTTAAATCATCATAATAAAAAAATTGGATACCTCCTATTTTAATAAGATTTACCATTTTATATGAGTATTAAAAAATTCAGAGTGAAGCCTTTACACTTTCATTGTCATTGGCAAAATCGATAAAAAAAACTAGTAAAAATGATATATATATTTTCATAGTAGATGACGTTTTATTTTAATCAACTCAATATTCTTAACAATGTTTCTATATGATTATTTCTACGTAATAAATAATATACATAATTCCTATCAAACAGAAGGAGAAGAACTAATTTGATACTATATACACCACATTTTATTAAGCTTTTATATTATAAAAATATCATTAAAAAGAATTGACACAACAAGCCAATTTTTTCTATTTTTCTGGATGAGTGGTCCGGTATAAATTTGAAGAAACTTTTCATGTCATCACTGGAAAGATTTTGAAATTCCAGCAGAATGACATTTTCCAGCCTCTGTGAAAAAATTGCATGTGATAGTGTTGGAGGCACAGTGAAAAAGCAAACATCAGAGGCCTGTGCTGATCAAATAACACACCAATGGAGCTGTATTAATATGCAAAACATAATATAAACGTTATCGAGTTTGAATTCATGACACTAAGTATGATGTAGATGAAGTTATCCTTAGAAAACCATTTTTGAAGGCAAGGCCAATCCCAGAAACACAAAAAATGCATATAGTGATTCCTCTAGGATTGGAGCATTTTAAGTTAAAAATTTATTCTAGTGGGACAGAAAATGGAGATGAAAGTATTACCTTTAAAAATATATCGGGCTAGACATGCATATATGAATTGGTGATTAGTGTTGGTCAAAAAAAGAGTGAGAAAACAGACACCCTACCCTTGTGACTAGTGCTTTTAAAAGCCCAATTCGGGTCGATTTTTAAAAACGGCCTAATTAAGATTATAACCAAAATAATATTGTGTAAGTCATGATTTTTGAGGCTTAAGCAATATTATTTTGGCTAAAATCTTAATCAGGCCGTTTTTAAAAATCGACTTAAATCGGGCTTTTTAACAACACTACTTGTGGCCATCTAAATCTTTCACATTTCTAGGTATGGACGACTTTTCATCTACTCAAATCGCAAATTTTAACCATAATTTCACCATCAATGCCAACAGAACATATACTCAAATTGCAAATTTTAACCATAATTTCACCATCAAAGCCAACGGAAAGTACATACAAGCTTTCTCCACAGAAAAGTTCACATATGACCAAAGGCGTGGCCAAAGGATTTGATTATATAAGTAAGTGACAGAAAAATTAGACATAGATAACCTTATTAAATAGGTAATTCTAAGCAGAAATGTGAACCCGAACCCGGATCCGAACCCTGAACCGTCGTATTTTGGCTGAACCCGAACCCGGACCTTTTTTAAAAGTGGAGGGTCCAAGGGTTCTAGGTGCGATAAAAATTTTTTAAAAAAATATCTTTTAAAAAAATTATATAAATTTTTTAAAATTTTATTAACTTTTTGTGGAATCATTTATTTTATCTTCGCGTTTTTCTTTCAATTTTCTTCCTGGACTTTCATTTTATTTAGGATTGATATCATAAATTATTTTCCAGTGTAATAATATTTTATTATGTAAATTTATTAATATGCTAAGTTATAGAAATACATTGTTATTTTAAAAGTGAATTATTTTGTAGTTTAAGTAATAATATTTAATTTAAATGATAATGCACAACACGTTGGTCCTCAATTTGTATGATGCTATAACGATTATTAAGTTTGAAAGATTTCTAGCATATCGGAAGTTGGTTGGTGCCAAGTAAAGGACCTTACTATTGTATTAGTTCCTTTAAAAATAACAATATTAAGATTACAATAAGAACAATTATGTTTATTTGATTTTAAGGCATATGGATTAGATGCTGATTTGATTTAGAAAAATTTACAGTCCTTTTTATATGAAATATTAGAAAAAAATGAAAATTTGATAGCAACAATATTTGCAAAATAGTGTTGTATACGCTTCAATATATTAAGACCCTCGATATCAAGTTTTAATGAGTATTGAGCAAAAACTGGCTAAAGACCATCTTAAGGATTTATGGCAAAACAAAACTCAATTATTTACAAATATTGGAGGCTACAACAATACCTATTGGTTGTAGTGATAATAATAATAATGATTGCAACATTGATGATCTTGAAATTTTACTTTTAGATAGAAAAAAAAAATCAAATTATCATCAGATAGAAAGGAGGATCAAAAAATGTCCATTGCATCTTTAATAGTAAAGTTCTCAGAAGTTAGGAGAATAAATAAGGATATAAATATTTTAAAATTCTGGGAAGAAAATTCTTCAATATATCAGAATTATATATCTTATCTAGAATCTTCCTGGCTGTACTGTCAACACAAGTACAATAATTTTATAAAGATAACTATCTATTTTAGGTAAGGGTAAAACGTGAATTTTCATCTTTAAAATATATATTGTCTATTTTAAGTGGAAATCTCAAGGATGATATTTTAGAAGATATTATGATTGTGCGAGAATAAAACATTTAAAATATAAATTATTTTATTTCTAAATTTTTCATTTGTAAATTATGAATATGTATATATTGAAATTTTTTTTTTATTTTGAGTCATTATTTTTATGTTCCCTGAACCCGGACCCTGGTCCTTTCAAATTTTATTCCTGTACCCAAACCCGGACCCTTTTTTTTATCCAAGGGTTAACATCCCTGATTCTAAGAAGCCGTATGTGAATGCAATATGTGCCTTTCCCTGACCGGCAAAAGATATTTAAAATATTAACATAGTATGAAACTACATTATTAATAAACAAAAACATATTTTATAATATAGATACAAAATAAAATATAATTAATTTAAAATTATTCTTTTGTTAGATAGGAATGTCGTAGATAAATTATTTTATATAAATAATCATATAGAAACTTTATAGATATTTGATTAATTGAAATAAAACGTCATCTATAGTATTTAAAAAATATTTTCCATTTTTTACTAATTTAAATTGATTTTACTTATGAAATCGTAAAGGCTCCATTGTTTTTTATACTTATATAAATGGTAATGGTAGTGTTTATCTAAATTTTACAAAAATATAAAATGTGTGATTTTCTTTATGAAGATTTAAATTTATTTCTGTGAATAAGAGGTCTGGAAAATCAAAAAAAAAGTATAGGCTTTATTTTAATACTAGATTTATGATAAATATAATTTTTTCATGCTTTGATCTTAGATATCTCTAAAAGTATAAAAGCTAGAAGGCTAAAATTATGCCCAAACAAGTATAGATTACAACGACCTTCATTTATATACAAATTTTAATCAAAATTGAAAGAGGTCAGCTGTAGTCATATTTTTTTTATCATTAAAGCATGAAATGACCCATTTTCATTTTATATTTTATTTCAAATAATGTATTACAAATTGGTAGGTTTTTTTTTGCATTGAAAAAATGCAAAATTGTTTGTGTAACTTTTACATTTAAAAAAATGTCAGTTTAATTTAAAGAACAAAGCTTTTTTTAAGAAAAACACAATGCTAAATGCTTCTGCATATTTTGTTAGCACTATTAGACTGACAGAGAAATCCTAAAAATTATTTTTCAAACTTATTTAAAGCTCATTAAATTGAACTAATCCTGTATCCTTTTTTAAGGAGACCTATAGAACCATACCAATGTCTGGCCATAGAAAAAAATCTGGTCTAATCCTAAAAACAAACAAACCCTGGGCATGCCTAAAACTAATAACAAATGCCAATCCAAAAAATTTTAATAAAAATTATATCAATAAATCAGTTCATAAACATGGATCATGCATTCATTCAATTCTCATAATTTGGATTTCTTTTTAAACATTTAGAAATTATAGCTAAAAAAATTAAATGACCAAAAATCCTAGAGATTGGCTCATGAAATGATTAAAATTTAAAAACCTGGGCATGGGCAAAATAAAAAAATATAAGCCAGGTTGAATTTTTTAATTTCAGCCCCAGGACCAAATATCCTTTATTTGTTTACACCTTCTGAAATAAAAAATTTTAGGCTTTTATTTTATAAATGTATCAATAATATTGAAAAAATTATTTTAATTTAATTCTCTAATATCTGTTATTTAATTGTAGAGTAAATTTTAATTGATTGTAGAGTAAATTTTATCTTTAAAACAATCAATATAATTTGTATTTTTAATATCATAATAATAATAATATATAATTGTTATTAGTGAAGGTCAACTTAGACCAGGACCGGACCGATTGTCGGATGGATCTTTTTGTTGAGGACCATGGTCCGGACCAGCCTTTTTATTTTTATGGTCCAGACCGGTCTTTTATTAATATTTAAGTTTACTTTACTATTCAATTAATATAATTTTTTTGTATATTTTATTTTATGATATTTTTCTAGAGGAGTTATTTTAGATTTTTTTAATTTTTTTTTTACAATATGAAAACCATAAGTTTGTCCAAGAAACATTTTACTTATAGTCCTAATAAAAAACAGAATGTGTTCACTGTAATACCAAATTTAACATATCGTCAGCAACAAGTAACAAAATAATTGTTTATAATTTTTTAAGCAATAAATTAATCAAAATAAGCAGTATTATTAAAATATTTTGGTTATTATTTATATATCTATTTTTTCTTAAGAAACTGTCTGAATAATTCATTGTCAAAATAATTTAACCTTATTCTTAATAAAATAATTAGGTACCTTAAGCAGACATTTGATAAAACATAAAATTTATACTTTTAATAATGAAAATGAAAATATCTCAAAAACACAATCTACTCTTAATTTAAATATGCCCTCCACAAGTACAAAATCACTTTCTTCAATACCATTGGATAAATTCCAAACAGATCATATGAACCAACTCATTATAAAATGAGTAATAATGGACTCTCTGCCAATGAAGACTTTTGAAAGTTCAGGTCTTCATAATTTAATCAAATATTTAAACTCAACTGCTACAATTTGGTCAAAAAACAAAGTTAAAATTTTTATACAGCTAATTTTGAAAAACTAAGAAATTCTCTAAAAGATATTTTAAATAAAAATAATTCTTTAATAAGCTTTACCACAGATATGTGGAGCAATATAAATAAAATTTCATTTATAGCCATTACTGCACATTATATTGATTCTTCTTTTACATTAAAAAATATTTTACTTGATATAAATCATATCCCATTTCCTCATACTTAAGATCTATAAAAGAAGTAATTGATGTATATCAATTGGAGGAGAATATACTGGCCTGTACTACAGATAATGCCAATAACATCCTAAAAAGCATGGATATTTTGCAGAATATTTATAAGGAACAAAAATTTAAAGGCTTTAGATGCTGTGCCCATATTCTAAACCTAATATCTCAGGAAGGTTTATCATATATTACAACTATCCTAGAAAAGTGTAGAGACATAGCCTTTTCTATAAATAAATCACCCAAAATAAATCAAGCATATGTACAAATATGTGAAAATAAGGGTATTACAAAATTTAAAATCCCTTCTGATATCCCTATTATATGGAATAGCTCCTATTTAATGATAAACACAATTTATGAGGTATTTACATTTTTATCCAATTATTTTTAAAAAAAATAAATTTTTAGAACATGGATGCTATAGAAGAAGTACTTTTTTAGAATAACAAACAATTTAAAGGGGTTTTCTTTACTGAGTGTGAAAAAGAAGACCTTAAAGAGGCTGTAGATTTTCTAAGGCCCTTCTATAAAACCACACTTGATTTATCAGGATCCAAATATCCTACAGTTGGGATTTCCATGTTATATATGGAGAATATAAATAATGAAATTTTAAATAATATAAAAAAGGATAACAATACAAAAAAAGAAATTCTTAATAACATGCTGGTTAAAATGCAGAAATATCTCAAAGAATTATTTTGCTATGAATCATATGTCTCAACATTATTGGATCTAACAAGTTTACTCTTAATAGAATTGAGTATATGACCAAATTTTCAAACTATTTAAGGAAAATAGAAAATAAAAAAAATACAGGAATAACGGATTCTCAGGTATATTTTTAATATTTATTTATTAAATCCTAATTTTCAAACATTTGTGCAGGAGGAAATCAATGAATTTAGTTTTTTAGAAAGAATTTTATCCCAAAAAAGAAATTCAGAAGGGGATTATATATCGGCAGAAATCATTGAAGAAAATATATCAGAACTTCCCACCTATTTGAATGAACCTCTTGTTTCATTAAAGGATGACATATTAATATGGTGGAAAGCCAATAGGGTCTTTTATATTTTTTAAATAGTCAATATAGTTTATTATATAGATTTCCAGTCCTCTCATTAGCAGCTATAAATTTTTTAGCAATTTAAGCAACATCTGTCCCCTGTGAACAAATATTTTCGAAAGCAGGAGATCTTGTCACTAAAAAAGGAATAGGCTTTCAAACAAAACAATACAAGCTTTGATGTGTATGGGCTCTTGGTTAAAGAATGGAATAGATCTACCGCCTCCATTAAGTCCCTCTTCGAATTCCTTCCAAGGAAGTTCTACAAACAAAGTTTAAATTAAATATTTCAATTAATTATTATATTATTCATAATTAATTTTATATTGTTTATATAATACTCTTATATTTAATAAAATGATAAAACAAATTAAATTAGGTTAAAAAAAATATGTTTTTTAAACAAATAATAGACCGGTTTTGGACCGGTCTATTTATTTAGGACCATGGTCTGGATAGACATTTTTTAAGGACCATGGTCTGGTCCAGTTTGAGGGTATTGGTCCCGTCCGGACTAAAGACCAGACTGTGACCTTCACTAATTGTACATAATATAATTTTAAAAATAAACTACTTACGAAAGTTAGTGATAATTATGTTTAATACATTTATTTGGAAAAAATTTAGACAGAATTAATGAGTTAATTTGACTTATATATTTTTTAGAATTGTAATATTTTAATCCTTATAAACTATTAATCTCAATGACTCTCACCAATCAAAATTCATTTAATACTTTTAATTAACATATATTTATTTATAATATTCTAGAACTGTAATAACAATATTTATATCCTTAAAAACTATTAATTTCAATGATATTCACTAATCAAAATTCTTTTAATAATTTTAAATCATAATTTTGCATAAACTTTATAAAACCTTTTATTTCCATATCTATAGCTTAGAAAATTAGAATGTAAAAAGGGCCACATATTAATTAAAAAGTATTTTATATATATAATATAGACAAGCTATTATTTCTTATTTATTTTTTATTTATCTATAAAAATTGTAATAAAAATTAATATTTATAAGTTGAGTAATAAAATAATCTATAAGAGTAACTTATTCCCATTATTAATATATTTTATATATTAGTATATTCTCCATGTCTATTATCATTTTTGGCATGGAGAATGCGTAATATTCTTTATTTTCCTATATTAAAATATATTTGAACAATAATATGTTTAAAAAAAGTTTAAAGTTTTTTGATAAATAACAATATATTTAATTACCTTTATTTCAGTTATTTCAGGCATTATTAAAATTCAAAAAATGATGAAGAAAAATGCTTTATTTTTACTTTCCGTCATTTAACAGAAATTATTTTCTAATATAATTCGCAAACAATGTCCTTTTATGTTGAAGATTCAACAGTGCTAAGCTAGGTATTCCTCATTTACATCTAACTGGAATAAGTTAATTTGGGTGAAAAATTAAAAATGAGGAGTCTTCTACACGTTTGTAGGCAGCGTCTACATGAGCGGGGGTTGGGGGGGTGGAGGGGGGATAGAAAGAGTTTGCCTCTATTTTTTCTTAGGAGGGTAGGAAGCAGGCTCCTTTCATGGGAGTAGGATAAATTTCTATGAAGTTATCTATTAAATTTTGTGATGACAAAATAGATTACTGTAAAAATTAATACTTTTATTATAAACCTATTATAATACATATATATTTAAACAATTATAGACATTATTTTCCAAATAAAACGTAATTTAAAAGACTTAGCCATTCTCAGCAAGTTCATAATGCTCTAATATTGTATTCATTGTAAATGAGAGTGTTTTTAATTTAATTCATTATCTAAAAATTAAGTCCTTTATATTCACAAAATTTAGTTGGTAGTAGAGATAAAATTTAAGTTATTATTTTTAAAATTTCTGAGGAATATCATTATAATTAAAAAGTTGTAATTAAAAATACTGTCATGTAGACGCTGTTTGTAGGTAAACCGCATACTTGCACGCAGGGGTGGCCCTAGCCTTTACAATCTCACGGTTAAAATTGATGGTAAATCCCCATAGTCATTTATTATTGTGATATTTTCAACAACTTCATCATGACATTCTTGTGGCAATCTCGAGAGACAATCAGGAACAATATTATATTTACCGGCTTTATACTTTATATTGAAATCATATCCGCCTAATGTTATATTCCACTTCTGGAGTCTTAAGGACATAGTACTATTATCCTTAAGACCCTTGGTAAATATGTGTAGAAGAGGTTTATGGTCATTAATAATTGTAAATTTTCTGCCGATTAAGTATTCCTGGAACCTCTTTATAGCGAACATAATAGCGAGAGCCTCACCCTCAATATTGGTATTGTTCATTTCGGATTTTAATAAAGTTCCGCGAAAGCTATTGGTTTTCCTTTGCCGAATTTTTCAGTATGAAATAATACAGCTCCTAAACCACATTTAGATGCGTCAGTGGCTATTCCTATAGGTAAATCAGGATTAAAATATGTCAAGGCAGGAGGAAGACTAATCAACTTCTTAAGATCATTAAAAATACTAGAGTGCTCTAAGTTCCAAGCCTATTTTTCTTTGTTGACGATTTTATATAAAAGATCGGCTATTTCTGCAAAATTGTTCAAAAATTTTCTATAGTAGCGAGCCATTCCCAGAAATGTTGATAATTCAGCAGCTTATTTTGGTTCTGGCATATTAATTATTGCTTCAATTTTGTCATGATTAGCATGAATCCCCTTGGCGTCATTATCATGACCCAAGAACCTTATTTTATTTTTAAAGAACACACTTTTGTTGAAGTTAGGTACTAGCCCAAACGATGATATTCTATCAAGCACTTTTTTTATGTTATTTAGGAGGGTTTCATCGTTTATCCCAGTTATAAGTAAATCATCAATATAAAATATGACGTCTTCCATATCACCGGAGATTTGGTCCATGATCTGTTGGAAGATTGCAGATGAGGTCTTAAGCCCAAAAGGAAGTCTAGTAAATCGGTAATATCCCTTGTGCGTAGATATAGTTAAAATATTTCTGCAACTTTTATCAATCGGGACCTGTAAGAAAGCATTTTTAAAGTCAATCGTCGTAAATTTCTTTCCTTCTGAAGTTTAGCTATTAGATCATTGATTCGTGGTAGTGGGTATCTGAAATCTTCTAGAGCTGGATTTACGGTGACCTTAAAATCAGCACAAAGCCTAATGCTCCCATCATCTTTGTAGACGGCGGTAATAGGACTTGCTCATCGAATATCATTCACCGGCTCAATAATATTATCATGTATCCATTTTTTAAGTTCATTGCTCACAAGATCAATTTTTGAATAAGGAATACCTCTAGGTGGTATAATTTTAGGTTGGGCATCTTTTTTTAAATGTAACTTGACACTTGCTTTGTTGATTGGCCCGTTAGTCAATTTGCATTCGCACACTTTAATCAATTCTTCATAATTTGTGTCAATATTTGCTATAAATTTATTTAAAATATTTTTGAAAGCATTGATCCATGTACATCCCAACAAGGCATTTTTCATAGACTCAACGACTGCCGCTTGTAGATATTTTGAGATACCTTCATAAGTCACTTTAACTTGTGTAATGTTAATGATTTTAATTAAATTTCCGTCATAAGCGGTTAGTTGTAACTCGGATTTTTTAACATTTCTAATACCAAGTTTTTCAGCCAAACCATGAGGTATGATGGTATGTTTGGATCCTGTGTCGACTTGCATAGTTGTAATAACATCGTTCACTTTTAAAGTAGTAATAAATGCCTTATCTTTAACATTAAGCATGTCTCCAGATAAGTTGTTAATATTAAAATCGTTATCATCTTTGTTCTTTGTAGAGTCGACTTTCTCTTCAATAATTTGTTCAATATTCATATTATGATCATTGTTGTTATATTGTATTTGCTTTCTCTGACTGTTGTCGCTACCTCTATAATTATTTGAATTGTTGTTATATTGTATTTGCTTTCTCTGACTGTTGTCACTACCTCTATAATTATTTGAATTGTTGTTATAGGATTGGTAATTATTACAATTTCCGTTATTAGATCCGTTTTTTTTTGGTTCATGCCACGTATCATTTCTACCATAATTAGATTGATTATTATTGCTGTAGCGATAGTTGTTATAGTTATAGTTATTATAATTATCGTGGTATCTAGAATTATTATTACCGTTATTCCTATCATAATATCTAAAAATATAATTATTGTCGTAATTCCTATTTCTATTACTATTATAATTATTATCTCTATTATCATAATAATTTCTAAAATTATTATCAAGTCTAAAATAATTATTATTGTCATTTCTATTTCTATTGTTAAAGTTTTTATCTTTATCAGACTTTATATCGTGAATCATATAACTTATATTATCAATATCTGGTTTATCATTAATACTATTTAATCTACTTCCTATCTCACCATTTCGTTTAACCTTGAATTCGTGGCGCGATTGCGATCGCGATTTAACAGCTGATTGATTTTTAAAATCTGTTTATGAGATCAATTTTTATTAGTTAATATTAATTTTATCTTTAATTCAAATTTTAATAATAATCTAAGAAATAATGATTTTAATAAAGAATAATTGATCTCATAAACAGATTTTAAAAATCAATCAGCTGTTAAATCGCGATCGCAATCGCGCCACTATGAATTCAAGGTAAGGTTAAATTAGTATTTTTACTAAATTTATATTTTATTTTATTATTTAAAGTAGACGTTCTTAATTTTACTTTTATTCTATTATCATCTAAAAAATCACATTTTTTATATAATTTTGATACTCTAATGTACTACTGCATAAAGTTTTCACTATAATTCTGATATGATAAGTTGAATTTGTTGATTAAAATAATTTTATCCTGTATTGGTAAAAGGTATCTGTTGATATGACCGATTAATACTAACCTATATATATTTTTAGTCTTTATTTCATTATAAAATTATCAAATTTTTTGGGCAAAATTATATTCCTGCTAGGTCTTTGACTAACAAGACTCTGTTCTTGTACTCCTAAATTTGGATCATCATTTCTTCTAAAACTTACAGTATAAAGTATTGCATTTGTTTTCACATGAGTCGTTTCATCAAGAGGTGCGCTACTCGTAGACCTTTTTTTAATTTGGTCTAAATGTCTTCTAATAATTTTGTCTCCTGTTTCAACTTCAAATGTTAAATTCCCATGTTTACGTTTTATCGTGTCTTTGTCCCACATATTACCCTTGAAGGTTTTATACCATACTTTGTCATCATTCATGATGTTTCTATTTGACGATAAATTGCGATTAAATTCGTTCACTTTATCTTCTTGCAGTTTGATTAAATCCCATGTGGTTCTTATGGTTCTGTTGAACATCACCTCGCTTGGTATCTTGTTGGTTGTCGCGTTTGGTGTGTTGCGAGAATTAAATGAAAACTTTTCTAAAGCTATATCTAAGTCTATTTTATTAATACTTTCCATATTCCTTTTCATGCATATTTTCATTGATCTTATCATTCGCTCACACTGACCATTGGACTGTTAGTGGTGAGGCGCGGTAAAAATGTGATCAATTCCATGATCACTACAAAATTTTTTGAACAAGCTACTTGTAAAATTCGTATCATTTGTACATTATGAGGATTGTCCGCATATTTATTACACGTATCACAGTTTCTCACCTCCTGATCTATTTCAGCGTTTAGACCTGGCCACCACAAGTAATCTCTCGCCAACAATTTCGTTTTCCTAGCACCAAAATGCCCTTTGTGTAATTCCTGTAATATCTCCTTTCTCATATTTTTCGGTATAATGATCCTATTCTCTAAAAAAAGACAATCTATAATTAAGCTCAATTCCATTTCCATATTTTTATATATTTTTTTCTTTATCTGTTCATGATTCTTTATATTGTTAATTACATCCATTAATTCGATATCAATACTAGTTTCTTGAACTATTCCTTTAAAATTTATTGGTAAATCCCAATTTGTCATCAATTTTTTTATCATCTATCTTTTGTATCATTTCTTCTGTGTTCATTTGGGGTAATCTTGACAAACAATCCGGTACTACATTTCGTTTCCCGGGTCTATGAATTATAGTAAAGTCATAAGCTCCCATAGTCAAACTCCATTTTTGAAGTCGTATTGATATGGATGAATTATCCTTAAGTCCCTTCGTAAATATATAAACGAGTGGCTTGTGATCTGTGATTATTGTAAATCTCGTACCAATTAAATATTCTTGATACTTACCGCGTATATAACAGATAAAGCTTCCCTCTCTATATTAGTGTAATTAAACTCTGATTTTAATAAAGCTCTTGACGCGAAAGCAATGAGTTTCTCTTTACCATCACCTTCAATATGAAATAAGACTGCGCCTAGACCTTTCTTTGAAGCATCAGTTGCAATGCCTATTGATAGATTCGGATTATAAAAATTTAACTTAGGCGGAGTACTTATCAGATTTTTTAGGTCGTCAAAGCTTTCTTGATGTGTATTATCCCATAACCATTTGTCTTTATTAACCATTTTGTATAAAGGATCAGCTATGTCCGCAAAATTACATAAAAATTTTTGATAATAGCTCGCCATCCCCAAAAAAGTTGTAAATTCATCTTTTGTCTTCGGTTCCGGCATGTTAGAAATAGCTTCTTATCATCGTTGGGATGTATACCATGATCATGTCCCAAAAAGCTTATTTTATCTTGCAGGAATAAACTTTTGTCGAAATTGAGGGGTTAATCCATACTTGATGATCTTTCTTTTCGAATACTTTTTGAATGTTCTCCAAATGTATCTCATCGTTATCATTTGTAATCAACAAGTCGTCAATGTAAAATATAACATCTTTTAAATCTTCGAAAATGATATCCATAGTTTGTTGGAATATTGCTGACGAAGTTTTTAAACCAAACGGCAGTCTCGTAAACCTATAATAACCCTTATGTGTCGATATCGTAAGAAAATCTCTTGATTCCTTGTGTATGGGTATTTGGAGAAACGCGTTTTTTAAATCTATCTTGGTAAATTTTTTACCTTTAGATAATTTTGCGATTAAATCACGTGGTGTAGGGTACTTGAAATCTTGTAAAGCAGGGTTGATAGTATTCTTAAAGTCGGCACAGAGCCTAAGTGAGCCATCGCTCTTATAAACGGGAGCGAGAGAACTAGTCCATCTAACATCTTCAACAGGTTCAATAATTTTATCGTTTATCCACTTTTGAAGTTCTTTTGTTATCAAATCAACTCTAAAATATGGTATACACCTTGGCGGTATGATTTTCGGTGTAGCATCGTGTTTTAAACGTAATTTGACATAGCTGCGAAGCATTGGCTTTTTGTTAAGTTTAAAATTGCATTGCTTAATTAATTCTTGCATAGTATTATCATAATCATCCTCAACCATATTCACAAATATATCTATTATATTCCCAAAAACTGTTATCCAGATCCTTCCCAACAGTGCAATCTTATCACTCTGTACTACATAAGCAGTTAAGATTTGACTTTTGTCCTCGAATTTTGCCTTGACTTTGATAGTTCCTAATACATTTATTGTGTTTCCATCATGTCCAGTTAATTTAATATCTGATTTATTTAAGATTTTTACTCCAATCTTTTTCGCGATATTAATCGGTAGAATACTATACCTCGAGCCGGTATCAATCTGCATCAAAATAGGCATGTCGTTCAAATATACTGTGACCTTATAAGCATCGTTAGCTGTGTAATTATTATCGGTATCCATATTGTTTATATCTAAATTGTATAAATTATATTCTTTTCTTTCTAGTTTGTCATTATCATCTTCTTTTATCTCTTCTATATTTACAGTGTTTACTTTATTTGTATATCGTGATTGATTATTGTCGTTGTCATGATATTTACAATTGCATACTTGATTTCTTCCTTGATTTCCAATATTATGATTATCGTTATATCTTTGAATACATCTTGAATCGTTATAATGTCTGTTATATCTGTAATTATAATCAATATCAAATCTATTATTATTATAGTTATTGTTATTATAACTAGCTCTACTATAAAATCTCGAAGAATTATTGTACGATCCTGGATAGTTTGCTCTGACGTTGTTGTAATAATTCGCGTTATAATTCTGATATCTAGGGTTGTAATTATTTTATTGATATCTGGGGTTATAACTATTTCCTTGATAAATATTTCTTTGAAAGTCATGGCCCTTGTTGTCCATGGTTGTCTGTTATCGTAATTAGATTGTAAATTTTGTCGTTCATCATGATCTCCATATCTCACCAATTGTTTATTTTCTTCTGTTTTCCTGCCTCTTTGCCTTTCTACATGTTTCACAGTTGTATCATCTTCTGTTTTTTCGTTTAAAGAAATATTTTCAACTTTAGAAATTATATTTTCTTTCAATTCTAACTCTTCAAAATCATCTCTTAAAGTAAGAACTTCTGCTAATGTAATGTTTTCTTTTAACGTAATTTTCTGCCTAATATTTTTGCTGATTTTTTTACTTTTTCAATAACTCTACTATCACTTAGCAAACATTCATTTTTTTTAAATGCATAATCTACTTACCCAATTGATGTAACTTTCGTTTTTACCTTGTACATCTGCCTTAAATAATAATAAGTTGGAACTTGTAGATTTCCTCGGGTGTAATAATCTGAATTTTATGATAAGATCAATGAAAATATGCATGAAAAGGAATATGGAAAGTAATAATAAAATAGACTTAGATATAGCTTTAGAAAAGTTTTCATTTAATTCTCGCAACACACCAAACGCGACAACCAACAAGATACCAAGCGAGGTGATGTTCAACAGAACCATAAGAACCACATGGGATTTAATCAAACTGCAAGAAGATAAAGTGAACGAATTTAATCGCAATTTATCGTCAAATAGAAACATCATGAATGATGACAAAGTATGGTATAAAAACTTCAAGGGTAATATGTGGGACAAAGGCACGATAAAACGTGAAAGGGAATTTAACATTTGAAGTTGAAACAGGAGACAATATTATTAGAAGACATTTAGACCAAATTAAAAAAAAGGTCTACGAGTAGCGCACCTCTTGATGAAAGGACACATGTGAAAACAAATGGAATACCTTTTACTGTAAGTTTTAGAAGAAATGAATATCCAAATTTAGGAGTACAAGAACAGAGTCTTGTTAGTCAAAGACCTAGCAGGAACATAATTTTGCCCAAAAAATTTGATAATTTTATAATGAAATAAAGACTAAAAATATATATATATATATAATAAAATATTTTTCTTTTAAATAAACTTTCAATAGCAATAGCAAAGTTAATGAAATATACTAATGATGACAATAAAACTAACAAGAAACGTTGACTGCACGATAAGATTCACATGCAAGAAAAACCTGAGTGGAGATCATTTTTTTAAAGGGTGGAATGTTGATATGACCTATTAATACTAACCTTTAAATTGTTTTTTTTATGTTTATATAAATTGATTTTTTTTTATATAAATTGTGTAGATTGATTTTTTGAAAATTGTTATAAAGCCTGATTTTTTAGTTTGATATCAATGTAGAATTTTAAAATAAATTAAATTAAATTTCTAACTTTGATTTATTCGAAATAAAATAAAATAAACTCGTAACATTCATCTATTTTTAGAAAACTTTAGTATCCTAATTTCTTAATCACTATCTTAAGATCTAAAATCTCAGTATCTGCAAATTGATTTAATATTATCAAACACATCATCAGATAAATTATCAAGTAAAGTATTTATTTTAAAGGTGTCCGGTAATGTGCTGGTCGAAAAGAACTTAATACCCTATCTAAGTGTATCTCAGTGAGTAATCCAATAAATTTTGGGAACTTATAAGGTGTAAAATCAGGTAATTTTATGTCCATTTATTAATAATTTTTATAAAATATCACATAATAAAAATGACGACGTTTATATTTTTGTAAATATGCATTGGAGTTGTATAAACTCTGATTCATTGTAAGCAATAAATTTTCCGTCCAATGCCTCAAAGCAACGTAACATCTCTTTTAATCTAAAGAATTCAAAGGAGACATCTCCACTGGCAGGTCCTCGAGTATATTAGACATCACAATTATAAGTGAATTCCCAAAGTATATCATAGACCGAGACCTCGTGTGGTATATTTATTAATTTATAACAAAACATCGAAAATTATTTACCTTTCGAAAATTATCCACCTTTATATAGAATTTCGTGTAAAAAAATAATTTTTTATTATTTATTTAAAGTTTTTGCATGTTAAAGTGTAAAATCTCACCATTAAAAAAAATAGAAGAGAAAAATACAAAATAAAAAATATAACGTTTACCATCCTCAACCGGGATACCATGAAGAAAAGTAAAACTATTATTTCTTAATCTATCTTATTTCACTTTTTCATATCATTTATATAACATTTTTACAAACTAAAATTAAAATATATATATAAAAAGGGTAACTTTGAAATAAAAGTAAAACTAAAATAAAAATACATTTTGAATAATACACGTTAAAAAATACAATTCATATTATTCAACAATTATTAATAATTAATTTCACTTTTGTCTTTCTTAAGACTTATCTTTGGCTTATATTCCATTTCTTAAAAAACATTTTTGGTTCACTTTTTTTATATATAAATGCATTTTTCCAAAAATGTATAAATTATGATGAATACTTTTATAAAAAAATATCAACTTTTACATTCTTTTTTTCAAAATATTGTTTAAGATTGTATAAATTATGATGAATACTTTTATAAAAAAATATCAACTTTTACATTCTTTTTTTCAAAATATTGTTCAAGATATATGCATACATTTTTTGGGGTCAGGGGGAGGAGGACTAAGGGGGATATTTTTTATTAGCTTAAAATAATATTCACAAAAAGTCATAAATTTCTGAAGGGGATGTTTCCCCTCCCCCCTCCCCTGGCTACGCCTATGAATGCATTGAACCTGAAGAGGAGTCAATATTAGGTTTAACTCCCTAGAAATAGTGGAAATATCATCAGAAGCTAAAATAGATGTATTCTAAAATATAAAAAAGTATAAGAAGAACATTTATGCATTTTTAGTATATATATAGACTAACTTTATTTTGCGTTGTTAGTATATTTTATTGGGCTTCATGATCCCTGTAGCGTTTTATTTGTTGATTGAGGATGAATCACCACCTGTACAATCATTAAGTGAGGTTAAGACAGGGCTTTTATCTAAAATAAAAACAAAAAAATAATTTAAAAAATATAAATGCATTGAACCTGAAGAGGAGTCAATATTAGATTCAACTCCCTAGAAATAGCGGAGGAATATCATCAGAAGCTAAAATAGATATATTCTAAAATATAAAAAAGTATAAAAAATACATTTATGCATTTTTAATATATATATAGAAGGCTAACTTTATTTTGCATTGTTAGTATATTTTGTTGGGCTTCACGATCAGGGTTGCCATGTCTCCCCCCCCCATCAACGGGAGACTCCCGCAATTTTTTAGTTTACACGCAGACATCTCACTCCCGCAAAACTACCGCAATTGGGAATCTCCCGCAAAAATATACGGCAATTTTTTAATATCTCCCGCACAATTTCTTTTTAGCTTTTTAGCATTTTAACGTTTTTATTATATAAATAATAATTTTGAGAGACAGTGATTGATTATTTTTATCTAGTTTGCAAATTTCTTTCTATCCTGTTTTATTTTTATCCAATAATAAATCAACATCATTCATTTCATTCATATTTTATCATTTTCAGTGTGTTTGTATATAACAATATAGGGGTTGGCGCTTAATTATCCGTTCAGGTTAAATTAAATATAAAATAAAATAATATTATACTGATTTCAATTATTAATAATACAGATGCAACTACAGTTGAGGAAATCATATACCTATCCTTTTATGACCTGAATCCAAGAGGTCAATTCTAGACGATTTGAAAGGTCGACTTCCATATACAATTTTAACAGATGCATCTAATAAGGGAAATGTTAAAACAATTCCCTTGATCTTTCGTTATTTAACAAGAATTAGGGTATTTCAATAAAACTGTTAAAAAATTTTTCCTCGGATAGTGAAAAATCCAACGATATAGCTAACCACATAATGGTAAATAGAGCTGACTCAGGGTTATCAATGTGTTGCTTGTCAGCTTTCTGCGCTGATAATGCTTCTGTAAATTTTGTCAAAAACCAAAGTGTATTTACCGAATTGAAGCTGCACAATAATGACTTAATACCAATTGGCTGCATATGCCATATACTACTGTATTATCTGTGGATGTCGAAATAATTCTGATGAAATGTTTAAACGAAGTTAGTTCATCAACTAAAAGAGGAGTTCGTGGAGTGGTCTGACTTAGAATGGTGTGAGTTGTTGCGACATGTCCCTATCAGGTGGTTTTCATCGATAGAATTTTAAAATTTTACGTACCTTTAAATACTACTTCTTAAATAAATATTATAAAAGCTGCCTTAAAATCTCAAAAAAATTTTTCGAGGATGAAATGATAGAAGCATATTTAGGAATGATTTCACATGTAGGAAATCTAATACATGCTATTTATTCAATTGCAATCAGAAGAATCTTTATTAATGAAGATTCAGAAAATTTTGCTGAAGCTGGTTTATCTTTACAGTTAAAAATTGATAATAAATTTTATGTCGCTATTGCTAAAAATATTATATTAAAATGTTCAAATAATACTCTAATTAATGTATTTTTAAAAGAAGCAATTTTTATTTAATTTAAGAATATTTGCAATCAAAATTTGATTTTAATAATTCTATTTACAAATGTATAATTATTATGACCTTAAAAGAAACCATCAATTGATGGTTTTATAATTTAATAAATATATTAAAAATACCTTTAGATATTGATGTCTTGTTTTGGTAGATTGTAATTCTCTCTATATTTTATGATTTGCCAGTATATTTAAAGTTAGATGGTCTAAAAACAGAGGAGGAATGGGTAAAATTTTTTCGTAATAACGATAAATCCCCATGCTTGGAAAAAAGATGCGAGTATGTTTTCTCCTTACCCCGACTGCCTGGAGAAAGGAGAGAAATCGGATTGCTCTAATGACATTAGAGGCTGAGCTAATGGTTAAACAAAATTATAAATGCCATGTCAACAATTTTATAAATATTTTAAAAACGACGGTAAACGTATAGTGGAGCGCATTTTTGAGGAGTGCCTGGAGTAAGGAGAGAAATCGGATTGCTCTAACAACATTAGAAGCTGAGCTAATGGTTAAACAAAATTATAAATTCCATGCCAGCAATTTTATAAATATCTTAAAAACGACGGTAAACGTGTTCCATTATTTAAATCTCAAATAAAATATAATTAATATCATTATATTTAATTACCCCTATTTTTTTTATATTTTATTAAATCTTTTTAATATTTTACATTGTAAAATTGAAATCGGTTGTTTTTTATAAAATTAATATATCTATATTATAATTTTTCGGTGTCCTCACTACGTCATAGTGACGTCATGTCATCGCTACGTCATGTCATCGCTACGTCATGTCATCGCTACGTATTTTTTTTATTTGTTGATTTTATTTATTTATTTTATACAAACAGATGAATGGAATTTAGAGAATTGATGGTGTACACATACCTAACATGGATTGAGAGATTTGAAAAATCGTCTTGGAATTGATATAAACAATATTCTCTCAACTTTCTAAATATGAATGAAATAAATGATGTGAATAAAAAGATTCAGGCTAATATTTCACTTAATCCTTTTTTTATTTTTTAGATTACCTTATCAATTTTCATCTCATATTATCAATTACACATTAATGAAATCTCTACAAGATACTCAACTTGTATATTTATTTTGAAAATACTCACAATTTTTGTCAATACTTACATTACAATTTTTTATACTCATATTTTTTTTTCATAACCAATAATTAAGAAGATAACCAAGTATATTCAAATATTTAAATATTCTTATCCTAACCTATTTATAATCTCCAATCCTTATAAATAACTTTCTTTATTTTTTTCCCCTCTCTTAATGAATTTATTTATCACTAAATTTCATTATCTCATTCTTTTCTTTCTATCTCTAATATCTATTAACCACTATTTCTCAAAACCTTATCAATTCCTTTAATTTAATTTTTATTATTTTTATAATATAATAATTTATACCTTCTTTTTTCCTCCCTTTTTAAATATTATTTTTAAATTACTTTACAATTAATTAACCTTAATCTTAATAACATTACTTTCATCATGTTATTTTTTAACTTTTAGAATATCATAATAGGCTTGATAAGTCCCCCCAAAATTTTTTTTGATGATGGCCAAACCTTATCAATTCCTTTAATTTAATTTTTATTATTTTTATAATATAATAATTTATACCTTCTTCCCCCCCCCCTTTTTTTTAATCTTATTATTTAATTACCTTACAATTAATTAACCATAATCTTAATAACATTACCTTCATCATGTTATTTTTTATTTAGAATATCATAATAGGCTTGATAAGTCCCCCAAAAAATTTTTTTCATGATAGCCTTCCAACTACTAGAAATATGCATCTAATATTGACCCATCTACCGGTTTTACATTATTTTAATGTTTGTTTAATTTCAACAATAGTTTGTTTATATTTTTGCCTGATTTCTTTATTTGTCTAGGCTAACCCTAATCCCTCACATTGCTACAAAACATGATGAATCTATTATTAAAGATAATGACGATCAAACAAACGCCTTACCCGTTCTAGAGTTACTGGTAGACAAAATAATAAAGAACTACGCTTGAAATAAACTCATCTGGAGGTTTATTTTATTATTTTTATCTTATGTTTTATATCTATGTTTATTTTATTTTCACCCATTTCTCCAAATGATATTTCTATCACCACTACCACAATCCCTATGCCTCCGCCTATTTTTTAACAAATATAAACATTTAATTCTGTACTATCATTCACTTCACTAGTAGTTAATATAATTACTTTATCCGATTTTCTGAGAAACTTTCATGAATATTTAGAGGAATGTTCAAACTTGAATGTACAGTACGGCCAATTTCATCAACTTTATTAATGGAAAAATATGCAGTAGTTCTGTCGTGGCCTTTAAAACAATACTTACGACCGTTTTATGGTTAGTTAACATTGTCGTTCATGATTCTATTTTAGAAGGGGATACCAATGCTGACATTGACAGAAATATCGTTTTGCGTGTTCAAACTTGAATGTACAGTACGGCCAATTTCATCAACTTTATTAATGGAAATATATGCAGTAGTTCTGTCGTGGACAATACTTACGACCTTTTTATGGTTGAGTTAACATTGTCGTTCATGATTCTATTTTAGAGGGGGATACCAATGCTGACATTGACAGAAATATCGTTTTGCGTTCTTCTTTTACCAGTATCCCAAGGCATATGCATATCATCTTTATCAGGACGTAATGTGTTTGTACACTGCTTTGTTAACCGTCATCACTTTCATCTACAATCCTAAATTATATAAAATTATATATTAATTATTTCCTCTCCAGATGACCGCCCAGATTTATTTTGTCGCTTTTTCCATCAAAAATTAAAATGTCAACAAGGATTTGCTCTTAATTTTATCAAATACATAATAAATAATCCTCATTATTTTTTAAAAAAATTATCCTAGTTTAATGGCATTTTTGTAATTTAAATAGACAGCATTTTTTTTTTACTTAGCATAAAAAAATATATATCCCTTATCAAATTCTTTGACATATAATTTCAGAAATGCAAGACATACAGACATACATTAAATTTATCTGAAAAACAACTAACCCTATATAATAAACAACATATTTTTTTAGATATAATTTTAATTGATCATATTACAAAAAAGTATAAGAGTCGGTTATTTTTATTTTATTTGTCATGATTCTCTAATAAGTGGTTGCCCAGGCCTTCCCAGTTTCCCTTAATACGGAATTTACATGTTTTTTTTTCCATATTAGACTTATTGGTAAATCAGATATTTCCCGTTCATGTGATGATATTAAAAATTTAACTATCTCCGAGGCGGGAAAAAATTTTCAAAATTATAATGGGTAGGACTGGGCTTGGAACCTCAAAATTAATATTAGCTTGCACCTGACTTGGGAATATCTTTTACAAATTATCAAGGGTTGAGCTGGGCTTGATAAAGTTTTTTAAAATTATAAGATCTTGGATGATGTACTATTCCACCTAGTAATAATATCTAGAGTGGGTTTGGTAACTTTATCCATTATAAATAAATTTTTCCCGAATTTTGACTAAATCCAATTTTAAATATGTTTTCATAAAACTATTCACAGCTAATTGTACAGTATGAGCTGAACATCTTATACAGCTTAGACCAAAGCTTTTGCTCATATCGTCTAATATATTGTCTTTATTGTCATAATAATCGTCAATACCCTCTGGTATTTCTTCATCAGAGAAAACTGAAATGTTTTCATCAATACATATATTTTGTTTTCATCAACATTTGATAAATCATTTTGATCTTTTGCAATAATATTAACCATTTTAATCATATTCGCGCTTTTATCCACTGTAATGCTATAAATTTGTTTTAAATCAAGTTGGTATTTTTTTAAAATTGTATGTATCTCTTTTTTTAGGTTAGCATCTGTATGATTTTTAAGGAGTTCTATCATTCAAAGTGTTCGACTTCTATATGGCCATCTTTTATATACTGAACATTTATGCCTAATATTGATTTATTATATCTGGTAGCTGTATCAATTTTGAAAGAAATCAGCTTGTTTTTAATTCGTGTATAATTTGTAATCTAATTTCGGATGCGGTGTATTTTATTTTGTCGACCACTGAACGAGTATTTATTTTATTTGAAGAGAATGACATATGGGGTCTAGTAATATACGCAAGCCCTCATAATTGGCCACATTAATGGGTAAATTATTAACTGTAGTCAGCCGTACTAAAGATTCAAAAACCTAAAAAATAAATATTGATTTTTATTGTGTGATTTAAATATTTTGAAATACTTTTGATTTTAATTTTTTGGAATTTTTCTTTTGCTGTATTTCTAGCATTGAATGACGAATCACTATTAGATTCATCTGCTTTCATTATGGTCGGGTGCTGAGACGTTATGTGCCTTTTAAGATTTGCTAGAAAAATACATTCAAAAATATATTAAATAATTTATCATACATGGTATCGACTTCATCTTTTTGTCACACATGCTGCAAGTTGCTAAATTTTCAGAGGAATCTATTAAAAAATGCTCCTTTAGGATATCTTTAAGAATATTTTTTTTATTTTGGCTTGAAAGCATTATATAAAAATAAAATTAAAATAATTTTTTCTATCTTTAACTTTTATGTTTTCCTTTTAAATTTTATTTATATTTCACTTGTTTATTATATTTTGAAAAAAAAATCAGGAATTAATGTTATAGAAGAAAAATGAATAAAAAATATTATATTATTGAAGTCAAGTCAGCCTTACCCTGAATTCATAGTGGCGCGATTGCGACGCGATAAGTACAAAATACAGTAAATATGATATCGCATTTTACCGATCGCCGCGATTTGTTATTTTAAAACACAAATCATTTTGTGATCACGAGATTTTGAAATAGTGCTTCGTTAAATACAGATTTTGGTGAATATAGCTCAAAATATTTGATTTTGCGCTACTTTTAGGGTATGACTAAATACTGAATTGCTAAAATGAATTGCTAAAAAGCAATTAATCATAATCAATCAAAATTTTATTATGTATATTTTATTTAATGAAATATTTTAAAATTTTTTTAAAATATACTTAAATTATTTTTTTATTAAATGAAGGATACAGATTAAATATCATATAATATATAATTTTATTTTGAGTTAATATTATTATAAAAGAAATATTTTCATAGCTTATTAAAACATAAATATATTTTTTTCAATTTTAAAAATTAACAAATATCCGTAAGAGGGCGTTATATTTATAAATATGTAAGTATCATTTTAGGAAACCGGAATGATGATTGGATAGCGCTTTTTATATATTTGGGTATATATACATATGAAAAACCTAAAAATTAAAAAAAAAATTTAGGTTTCTTTGATGTTTAATTTATGAGTAGGTTTAGAATAGTAAAATAATGGAAATTTTCTAAGGTAAATATTGCTGGCGTTATTTATCAAAATCTCTTAATTTTTGTTTTATATGTGTATATTTACGTGATAAGCATTATCCTAAAAAATTTTTTGAAAATATTATGATTTGACCGAATGCCGAGCTTAAAACCGACCACTTACTAAATATTCGATTGACCAAATTTACTAGTAATACAATTTGAAAAATGTTGATTTTTGTTTTATATATCTATAAATACGTATAAAACATAATCCCAAAAAATATTTTTAAAATATCGCTATTTGGCGGATAACCGACTCGTAACCGACCCAATGACTAAATACTGAATTGCTGGCTTAAATCAAAATATTCTAATTTTTGTTTTATATGTGTATATTTACGTGCTAAGCATTATCCTAAAAAATTTTTTGAAAATAATTTGATTTGACCGATTGCCGAGCTCAAAACCGACCACTTACTAAATATTCGATTGACCAAATTTACTAGTAATATAATTTGAAAAATGTTGATTTTCGTTTTATATATCTATAAATACGTATAAAACATAATCCCAAAAAATATTTTTGAAATATCTCTATTTGTTGGATAACCGACTCGTAGCCCACCCAATGACTAAATACTGAATTGCTGGCGTTTTAAATCAAAATATCTTAATTTTTGTTTTATATGTGTATATTTACGTGCTAAGCATTATCCTAAAAAATCTTTTGAAAATAATTTGATTTGACCGATTGCCGAGCTTAAAACCGACCACTTACTAAATATTCGATTGACCAAATTTACTAGTAATATAATTTGAAAAATGTTGATTTTCGTTTTATATTTCTATAAATATGTATAAAACATAATCCCAAAAAATATTTTTAAAATATCTCTATTTGGCGGATAACCGACTCGTAACCGACCCAATGACTAAATACTGAATTGCTGGCGTTTTAAATCAAAATATCTTAATTTTTGTTTTATATGTGTATATTTACGTGCTTAGCATTATCCTAAAAAAATTTTTGAAAATAATTTGATTTGACCGATTGCCGAGCTTAAAACCGACCACTTACTAAATATTCGATTGACCAAATTTACTAGTAATATAATTTGAAAAATGTTGATTTTCGTTTTATATATCTATAAATACGTATAAAACATATTCCCAAAAAATATTTTTAAAATATCTCTATTTGGCGGATAACCGACTCGTAGCCCAGCCAATGACTAAATACTGAATTGCTGGCGTTTTAAATCAAAATATCTTAATTTTTGTTTTATACGTGTATATTTACGTGCTAAGCATTATCCTAAAAAATCTTTTGAAAATAATTTGATTTGACCGATTGCCGAGCTTAAAACCGACCACTTACTAAATATTCGATTGACCAAATTTACTATAAATTCTTAGTTATAAATTTATATAATTTTTGTATTAACACTTAAAATTTATGCAATACTATATGCTAAAGTATTTTTATTTTTATATAATAAATAAAATCTATAATACTCTCTAAAAATGTGTTATGTGCAAATATTTCAGATAATTTTAATTGTCTAAGAGATAAGCAATTGAGATTCAAAAAAGGGGGGTTTAAACCCCCTCCCCATGATTATATTCTTTCTAATATTTTTTTATTTTCCTTTATTATTTATATTCGAAATTATTATATTTTCCTGAATATTTTAAAAATATTTGGCATTATTTTAAAAATAAAAAAATTTGAGTTAGAAGTATATAAAAAATAATAAACAAATAAATAAATAAATACTTTTAAATAATAGCCGTTAAAATTTAAAATTGTTTTATAATTATAAATCATATTTTTGCTATTAAAATGTCTGATCTGTTCTCAAAGTTTTTATTTTGGTAAAATATATATTTAATAATATATTTTAAAATTTTATTATAAGTTAAAGGAAACGGTTATCCGCCAAATAGCGATATTTTAAAAATATTTTTTGGGATTATGTTTTACACGTATTTATAGATATATAAAACGAAAATCAACATTTTTCAAATTATATTACTAATAAATTTGGTCAATCGAATATTTAGTAAGTGGTCGGTTTTGAGCTCGGCAATCGGTCAAATCAAATTATTTTCAAAAAATTTTTTAGGATAATGCTAAGCACGTAAATATACACATATAAAACAAAAATTAAGATATTTTGATTTAAAACGCCAGCAATTCAGTATTTAGTCATTGGGTCGGTTACAAGTCGGTTATCCGCCAAATAGAGATATTTTATAAATATTTTTTGGGATTATGTTTTATACGTATTTATAGATATATAAAACGAAAATCAACATTTTTCAAATTATATTACTAGTAAATTTGGTCAATCGAATATTTAGTAAGTGGTCGGTTTTAAGCTCGGCAATCGGTCAAATCAAATTATTTTCAAAATATTTTTTAGGATAATGCTAAGCACGTAAATATACACATATAAAACAAAAATTAAGATATTTTGATTTAAAACGCCAGCAATTCAGTATTTAGTCATTGGGTCGGTTACGAGTCGGTTATCCGCCAAATAGAGATATTTTAAAAATATTTTTTGGGATTATGTTTTATACGTATTTATAGATATATAAAACGAAAATCAACATTTTTCAAATTATATTACTAGTAAATTTGGTCAATCGAATATTTAGTAAGTGGTCGGTTTTAAGCTCGGCAATCGGTCAAATCAAATTATTTTCAAAATATTTTTTAGGATAATGCTAAGCACGTAAATATACACATATAAAACAAAAATTAAGATATTTTGATTTAAAACGCCAGCAATTCAGTATTTAGTCATTGGGTGGGCTACGAGTCGGTTATCCGCCAAATAGAGATATTTTAAAAATATTTTTTGGGATTATGTTTTATACGTATTTATAGATATATAAAACGAAAATCAACATTTTTCAAATTATATTACTAGTAAATTTGGTCAATCGAATATTTAGTAAGTGGTCGGTTTTAAACTCGGCATTCGGTCAAATCATAATATTTTCAAAAAAATTTTTATGATAATGCTTAGCACGTAAATATACACATATAAAACAAAAATTAAGAGATTTTGATAAATAACGCCAGCAATATTTACCTTAAAAAATTTCCATTATTTTACTATTCTAAACCTACTCATAAATTAAACATCAAAGAAACCTAAATTTTTTTTTTTAATTTTTAGGTTTTTCATATATATATACCCAAATATAAAAAAAGCGCTATCCAATCATCATTCCGGTTTCCTAAAATGATACTTACATATTTACGCATATAACGCCCTCTTACGGATATATATTAGTTAATTTTTAAAATTGAAAAAAATTTATTTATGATTTAATAAGCTATGAAAATATTTCTTTTATAATAATATTAACTCAAAATAAAATTATATATTATATGATATTTAATCAGTATCCTTCATTTAATAAAAAAATAATTTAAGTATATTTTAAAAAAGTTTTAAAAATTTTCATTAATATACATAATAAAATTTTGATTGATTATGATTAATTGCATTTTAGCAATTCTTTTTAGCAATTCAGTATTTAGTCATACCGCTACTTTTTAAATTTAGAGCTAATTTTTTTATTAATTGAAATGAATTCAAAGACAACCTTTTTTGATGGTATAAAACCAAAGGATCAATTTAAAATTATGATTTAAACTTAATTTTTTTTAGAAAATAGATAAAATAGCTTTTATTCTTTCTCTTAAAGAGTACGAATGTTTATACAATAAGCATAATCATTTGTATAAAAGTATTATATACAAGAATAAAATCTGGGAATTATTAGCCAAGCAGTATAATATGCCTGGTAATAATTTTGCATTATTATATTTATAAATTTTTTTAGGTTCATCTCTCTAGAAAAATATGAGAGATTGTTTTATAAAAGAGAAGCAAAAGCTAAAAAGACTGAAAAGTAGGTCAGAGGGTGGCCATCACATCTCATGGCCATTCCATCAGGATATGCTATTTCTGGTAGAAACCTTAACACCTAGATCACAGAAATCCTCTTTAGATATAGAGGAATGTACTACTAAAGATGCAAATGATATATTTAATGAAATAACAGGAGGTATATATGAATGTAAAATATAGCATTTTAATTGATAAAATATATTTATTATTTAGGTGATCTCATTGATAGTGAGAATATATCAGATGATATATTTATTCCCAAAGATTCTGCAGCACTAAATCTTAGTAATGATTCTGGTAATTAATAATATATAAAAATTTATATTATCTTTTATATAGAATCTATGTCCTGTGTTGGGTCACCTAGTTATTATTATAAATGTCCTAAGAGAAAGAACAATGATATGGGTAATTTATATTTTTTGATTTATGGATAAATTTTAAATAGATGATTATAGGAAATTAATGAAAATAGAAGCATATAAAGCATTAATAACCTTGGAAATGCTTAAAAATAAATCAACAGAACATGCAATATGTTTATATAAAAGAAAAATTAGATGATTGTACCAAAGAGAAAAAAAGAAATAACAAATAAAATACTTGATATTATAAAAGATTATTGATTAAAATTATTTTGTATATATTTTTGTTTTTTGAGATATATATTTGGTATATATTTTTGTTATTTGAAATATATATTTTGTATGTATTTATATTATTTGAAATAAACATTTTGTGAAATACATTGAATGATATAATTATTCCCAAAAGTCCTGCATTAATTAAGCCTTGTACTGAGTTTGGTAATTAATAATGTCTAAATATATATTATTTATAATGAATGATCTTTATCTTAGAGAAAGTTTAAAGACATTGGTGATTTATGTTAACTTGCTTTATAAAAATATTTTCAATAGATGAATTTAGAACAACTATATAGCTTTTTTAGTGACATATTCCTACATATATTTTATGAGTTTAGACTATATTAATAATAACTTTATTTTTTATTATAATATATATAAAATACAAAACAAGATATTTATAAAAATTAGATGATTGTACCAATCAGGAAAAAAAAGAAATAACTAGAATACTTGATATTATAAAAGATTATTGATTAAAATTTTTTGAATATATTTTTGTTATTTGAAACTATATTAATAATAACTTTATTTTTATTATAATATATATAAAATACAAAACAAGGTATTTATATAAAATACAAAACAAGATATTTATATAACATACAAAATAAGATATGATTAAATTTATAAAAATCTATAATATAGGATTTTTATATAAATATAAGCATAATCTTGGAATGAATCAGTATAACAGTGTTGATTTAATACTATATGAATCTTATGTTGCTAAATACCTAAATAAAAAATATATTTAAATAATAAATTGCTTTATTTTTACATTAAACAAACCATAAGCTTTTCTTCAACACTTATAGGATGTTTTATAAAATTGGTACATTTGGTATGTAATAAAGGTTTTACAAGTTTGAATATATATAAAAAGGTTTCCTAAATTAAAAGGAATTATAGTTAAAATAGAATAAAATTACTTTAGTCATTCTCATATAGTTGAAAAATTTAGGCTCATTTTTTAATAGTTTAGGAAAGAGGACATAAAATTCGCCCTCTTTTGTTTTATTAATATTAAGATGGTTTAATCTTCTCCTCATCTAGATCATTCTGTAAAAAAATAATAATTTGAGGATGGATACCATTTTGAATTAATAACGCTTTGCGCTGCTCTATAATGAAAATCGCTGCGCTCGATCCAGCTGATCGGTCGCTGCGATATCGCGGCGAAATCGCAATCGCTCTTCACTATGAATTCAGGGTTAGCCAAATATAAAACCCCCCTTTTTATAAATTTGGGATACATTTATTTATTATTTAATGTTTTTTTATTTATATTTATAAAAAAAACAAATGTTAAGGTATATAAAATGTATTTCCCAGATGGGATTCAAAAAATAAAAAGAAGTAAAATTCTTGGTCAGACAACATATTCTTTTCACATTAAAAAAATGTATTTCCCAGATGGGTGGGATTCAAAAAATAAAATAGAAGTAGAACTCTGGGTCAGACATCAAATTCTTTTCTTTTCGTTTTTTCCATTGCCTCTCCCTTTATTTATTTAATGTATTTTTATTTAGAAAATTATTTAAAATTTTCAATATAGTTTTTATTAGGTTAAAAAAGTAAAAATTTTTCTGGTTTTTTTTCACCATTAATTAACAATATTTTTTTTTATTTTTAGGGTATATTATTTTTTTTTTTTATGTTATGACTAGGCCTACAAAAAAACGAATCGAATAATTGCGCTATTCGTATTCGTACGAATAATAATATCATTATTCGTCGATTCGTCGAATATTCGATTCGAAAATTTTTTTAAAGCTTATAAAATATTTTGCAAAAAAAATTTTACAGATGTTTAAAGATGACACTTTTAAGGATTCTCTAAACTAATTGTCATTGCAATATAAAAATTTATAGAAAATAAACGAAATAAAACCCAATGATTTCATATAAAGTTAACCAAACAAATTGACTAAAATATCCGATTTTTAGAATTAGAATTGCTTATAAAAAAATATTTAAACTATTTCTTCAATCTAATATTCAAATTTTATTAAAATTTTCTAAAAATGTACAATAATCTCATTTTATAAAAATAGAAAATAATACACAAAAATATAAAATTATAGTAAATCCGAATTTGATAATATCCAATTTTTTAAGCATAAAGTCTTTCTAATAGTTTCCTCCTTCAAAGACATTCTATTTTTTATTATCATATTTGTTCCTATTGAACCGCTCACATGAAGCCGAAGATCCCTGAATTGACAATATATCAGTTGCCATTTTCGACAACACAGGAAAACGATCCCCATGCAATCTCCACCACTCTAAGAGACTCTTATTTGAACTGATTCTTATTTCGTTAAGATATGTCTCCACCTCACATACTGATGCGATGTTATTTTGTTTAAAAATTCTATCCATGTTCGACTGTACTATTGGGTTAACTGATGTTGATTTGATATTATATTTTATTTTGTAATCATTATATACATTTTTAAATTTTTCTAATAGATTTGTCGTGTCTATGTTATATGTAGTTGGTAGTTGCTCAAAAAATTCCGTTTTTAGTCTAGGATCCAGTTTTGTTGATATTATAGTGTGAATATTTGTTAAGTTATAATAAGTTTCTATTTTCTCAATCGCACTGATAGAGTTTATAAAATCGAGATCAAATTAATTTAAATGTTCGATTAAAGAAACATAGAAAGGGATGACAAGATTTAGGATAGGATATGTGTCACCACATATATCTTCGGTAAAATCAAAATAAGTCTTTAATTTGTTTTGTATGTTTATTAAAGTAGTCCAATCATCCTGATAAAAAATAATAATTAGTAAATAAAATTAAATTACTTCGCTAAATTTTCTTTCTTCGATATCAGATATATCATCATATATCTGAGTCACAACTTCATCAATAGCCCTTCTCATTTTAATAGCTCTTTCGACCATTAAATAAGAGCTATTCCATCTGATGGATGTGTCTAATTTTAATTTTAAATATTTCATAGGGGAAAGTAGGGAGGAGCACACATTTTGCATAATATTTGTCTTTGTAAAAGAATTGCGAATAATCTTTATGATTGTTCTTAATTTTGATACTTGCCTGTCTACTTTCTTAAGTATTTCTTGTACTACTAAATTGAGTACATGTGCAAAACATCGCACATGAAAAATTCACAATTTGGGTGTTTTATACGAAGAATTTTTATGAAAGTAGAATTAGAGCTAGCATTATCGCAAGTAATTGCTATCTTACTTATGTCGATATTATAATTTTTTATAATTTGAGAAAACTCTCTATAAATATTTTCACCAGAATGTGAATCAGTAAATGGAACTATATCCAATAACAAAGATTTCATCTCCTATTTTTCTTCAATAAAGTGGCAGGTCAACCCTAAAAATGGTACATTAGTAGGGCTTGACCATATATCAGTTGTAAGGTTAATTTGGCATTTTAAATTATTTATAATTATTTTAACTTTATTGAATTCTTTATTAAAAATTTCATTCATTTATTGTTTAATTGACGGTATTGAGCATATTTTTATTTCAGGATTTAAAGCTCTAACGAAGTACTTAAATTCCTGAGTGGCGAGAATTTTAAAAGGTATATTTGACTTTAGCAAAAACTTTAATAAATAATGCTTAACATCATCAGCATTTGTTTTGGGTATATCATTTAAATAGTTTCTAATAGTATTATTTTGCTTTTGATGAAATCTTTTGTTATGATTAATTAGTGCTGACATAGTTTTTTTCTTGCACATTATCTCCACATTGCATATTTTACATTTAGCTGTTTCTTTTTTAGCATCATGGAGATAATGATTCCATATTAAAGAATTTTTCCGCCTAGCATTAAAAGGTTCAGTTTGATCAGAGATTGATGTAGATCTTGAACTATTTCAGGATTGACTATGTCCTTCACCACATCTTCTTCCATCAAGATTTTCTAATTGATCTTTGAATATATTTTAACATTATATCATATAAAATCCAAGTTTACCATCCTTCCTGAAATTCCAGATTAATGACACATTAGAAGCTGAAAGAAAAAAACAGTAAATTAATTAAACAGTGGCATAGGCATGGGGGGGGGGTCTTTTTTTTAAATAAAATTATTTTAATTTACTATTTTTATTCCTATTATGAATTAGCAAAACCTTAGAGAAAATTAGACCTTTCTTTATAAATTCAAATCAAAAATAGCAATATGATAATATTAGTTCTAAATAATATTTATTTTTGTAAAATAAATTCTTAGTTATAACATATATATAATTTTTGTATTAATTCTTAAAATTTATGGAAATACTATTTTAATCAAAGTACAGTGTATTATTTATATATTTTTTATGTAATTGTTAAATTACATTTTTTAAAATAGTTTTTATATAATAAAAATTTTAAAATAATCTATAAAAAATATCTACATTTTAAAATTTATTTTAAATATTTCCATAATATATAACAAATTTTAGAGAGTATTTCATTATAGATTTTATTTATTATATAAAAATACTTTATTAGCATAAATTTCTTATTTAATCATGTATTTATTTTTATTATAAATATCATTTTATTAGAGGTGAAGGTGATTATGACAAAATAAAATTTTTAAAATTATAATCTATATAAAATATCTACATTTTAAAATTTATTTTAAATATTTACATATAAAATATAACAAAATTTTAGAAAATATTTCATTATTTTTATTTATTAAAAATACTTTATAGTAGCATAAATTTCCTTTATTTAATAATGTATTGATTTTTATTATTAATATCATTTTATTAGAGGTGAAGGGATTATGACAAAATAAAATTTTTAAAATTATAATCTATATAAAATATTTACATTTTAAATATTTGCATATAAAATATAACAAAATTTTAGAAAGTATTTCATTATAGATTTTATTTATTAAAAATACTTTAGTAGCAT